ACAGAGATAAATAGCAGAAAATGACATTAGAATTGCTCTAGATCATTAATAAGAATCACCAGATAAAAATATCATAATGGATCAAATAAATTCCTTGATCCTTTTGAGGTGTGCCATGTCTTTTGATTTTGAATAAGCAATCATATTATTAGTGTTTACTATATTGATATTTTAGACTCGGACAAAGAATTCATTAATAGAAAATTGGTGGGTTAAAGAAGCATTAGAAGTCACTAGAATTTTGTAAACAAATACAGATGACAAGAATTGTGATTTTGATTATTGATGCAGAACTTTTAATTGATAACTAAAAATTTAGATAATATAGACCAAGTTTTTTTGAAAAGAAAAAAATCCCATGGGTTTATCTGCTGATAGAAAAAAGTATTTAAGCAAAGAAGTTTCTAAATATGTTCAAAATCCTGTCAAAATGATTTTCTCGTAACATGATTTTTTCAACACTTGCCCTATTACTATACGAGTTCAATTGTTGAAATATAAATTATAACAAGAATATTAAGTCTCGAACAAATCAACGAAATTCGATCCAATTCGTGCTTTGATTCGGTTCGGTTCGGTTTGAATCAATATATAGAAATTATGGATACATTATTTTCTTATGTAACCAAAATTAATTTCCTATTTATTTCTAAAAGTTCTAAATATTTTTTTTAAAAAAATGGAAAAATTAAATAATATTTATATAAAAAATAAAAAAAGAAAAAAATTACAACAATAATTAATTAATAAGTGATTGATTGAATTGAATGATTAATTAATGGAATAAATTTAAATTTATCTTTGCTGATTAATTAAATATGTTTTTAATCGATAATTGATGATTATTGTGACAAGGAAAGAAAAACAATAACATTACGATGATAGTATTACGTAGTTGCAGTAGTAATAATTAATATTAATATTAATATTATTGTCATTATTATTATTATTATTAAATTATTATTATTATTATTATTATTATTATTATTATTATTAGTTTACAAGAAATAATCTGGTGTTCTACGAGTTACGTGTGGTTCGCCTTTTCTTGGTGCAGGATCAAATTGCAAACTAAAATTTGAGGTAAAAGAAAATTTTTAATTTTTCTAAAAAAATTTTTGATAATAATAATAATCATTTAGATAGAGGAAACTTACAACGTATATTTCAAATGTTCATCTATTTCCATGATTGCAGCTTGATTGCCACAACGATAACAATAATTAGGAGCACTAAAAATTGTGACTACATTTTTATCTTGCGACCAATTATATCCCTAATATTTTAAATAAATTATCATTATTATTATTATTATTATTAAAAAACATAGATATATAACTGCACATATTATTATCATTAACAGTAACCTCCATGACCAATTGATGAGCTCTAGCAATTAATGTTAAGCCATTATTATGATTGAATGCCTCTGATATATCTTGTCCAAAGGTATAGCCAGCACCTCTAGGAGAAATTCCCCAACCACAACGATCATCTGGATCAGACCATAATAAATCACACATTGGGCCTTCATGAGGAACTTCTTGGATCCTATCCAAAGACCTGATGTGGTCCAAGGTATCAATAGACGGAGATAAACCACCATGAAGACAAAAGATCTGTCATAAACATTAATTAATTAATTAATTAATAAACAAGTAAATATCATTATAGGTTATTAATTATCAAAGAAAATAACTGTTTTTCCCCAAGAATATAATTTATATTAATAAATATAAATATTAATATTTTAGTACAAACCTGTTCATCAATTAGCGCAGTCAAAGGTAAATAATCAAATAGATCTGTAAAGAATTTCCAGACATTGGCATTACCGTATTTTCTTAAACACTCATCATAGAAACCATATACTTGAGTAATTTGCCTTGATTCATGATTTCCTCGTAAAATGGTAACACGATCCCTATATCTAACTTTTAGAGCAACAAGTAGGGTAACAGTCTCAACAGAATAATAACCACGGTCTACATAATCACCCATAAAAAGGTAATTAGTATCCGGTGAATTTCCACCAATACGGAATAGTTCCATTAGATCATGAAATTGCCCATGGATATCACCACAAACTGTTACTGGACATCTAACTGGTTGAACGTTTGATTCCTCCATAAGAATTTCCCGAGCCTGTGTGTGTGTGTGTCGTAAGTAGTGAATAATAAATTATTATTAACAATGTTAATAATATTATTATTTTATCAATGCCATAATAATATTATTAGTAGTAATACTTTTCAAATATAATTTTTAAAAGCGCAACAATTTTTTTTATTAAACATTATTAATTAAATTTGTAGGTAAAAAATTTTTTTTTTTCAAAAACTTTAAAAGACCTATTAATTAAATACCTTGTCACATAATCTTTTCACATCGGCTTCTGGTAATTGTTTACATTGCATCAGATGTTGAATCCAACCATCTACGTCAGCGAAATCTGTAATTGTCGTCATTATTTATTTATTTATATTTTTTTTTTTTGTCGTAATGAAAACTTTTATTTTAAATAAAGAGACGTTAAATTGTAAAAATAAAGATATCTAATTATAAATTATTTATCGCTTGTTTTTTTTCAAATTGTTCAACTGACAAGCAAAAAAAAGTTTTTTCAATGCTTGTGTGTGACTAAACTTTTATTTCTTTGGAAATATAAAATTACGTAAATAAACAGTTCATGTATTAATATGATGAT